CTCAGCCCCATCGATGGCTCTGTAAAAAGCTTGAAATGATTGCTGCTTGAATCGCTCTGAAATTGGCGGGCCATCCCATCCAGCTCCCCGACATTGACGAACTCGCAAGCTGGTCCTCACTTAACATCTCTTTCATTCCTTTCCAGGTACACTTCGTTTCCTCACTTTGTCATAATCTAGATTCCCCTTCGAAAAGCAATAGATTTGTCTTTTCCCCGGTAAAACCACTTTATGGATTCTTATGTAGCGCTTCTTCTTCAGAAAGATGTCGACTGCAAGAAATTAGGTATAATTATCATTTGCAAATTCACAATCGACGGGGATTCGTAACTAGCGGTTGTATTTTGTATTTCGGAAGAGATTTGGTGTCTTTTATACGCGTTCAGTTGATTTGTTCGAACGAATGGTGCTACAGATTGGTTGGGTTTTTGGCAATTTCTTCCATCGTCATTTAACTTAATATGGAGATCCGGAGGCTGCTCATTATCTCAATTATGATACTTTTTGTTCTATTTGTTTTTCAATATTTTGTGTTTCGGTATACAAAAACGTTGCCCCTATCGCCCGACGATAAGGACTCAATGTTTATGGTGGTTCATAATGTCTGTCACTTGAACGATTCGGGACTTTGTAGATTTCATCCAACTGATACGGGTATTGACATCTTGGATACAAAGGAGAATTTTGATTATGATACTAACAAAAAAGTAAGAGAAGAAACAGTTGGTTCGAGTCATTTGACTTCAGAAAACTTGAATAAAGAGTCCTTTGATGAGAAGGGCAAAACTGTTTATGAGGGTTTGGTATTGGAAAATGATAATCAGACAGAGGATGAAGAATTAGGTTACAGTCCCCTGATGAAGGGAGATGTTTTAGTGGATAGTAACATGACAGCTGATGAAGGTAAAGGCAGTAGCAGTCTAGGGATGAGTGGAATTGCAAACCAAGTTACTTTTGTTTCAAATCAATCCCAAGGAACTATCAACAATAGCGTTAAAAAAGTTGATCAGACATATTCTGACATTTCTGTTACTTCAAACACTTCTGGCCAGGAAGAGAATATCAAAAACAGAATGGAAAAACTAGAAAACAATAATAGGATTGAGCTAGAGAAGAAAGATTCGGTTGTCTTGAATGACAAAGTGGTGGGGTCTGAGGTATCAAGATTGAGTGGACCATTTATATCCATATCTCAAATGTATTCAAAGTTATCAAGGGCTTACAACTCTCCTTGTTTGAAGGTATGGATTTCATTTCGAGGTTCCACGTTTGAGTAACTGAAACCATATGGAGTTCTAAAATTTTCACTTGGTAGCAGAGGCCACAATGTCGACAGACGTCTGGGCATGATCGTGAACTACACTATGCCAGACAGGAGATTGAAAACGCTCCTGTGCTAAGGAGCACTCCAGAAATTAGTGCCTCTATTTTCAGAAACATTTCGATGTTTACAAGGTAATCTAATGCAAACTATACGCCTCAAAATATTTTGTGTTCCATTTTTCTTGCATCGCCAATGTTTGTTGGAGACAGTGTTGTGGTTAAGCATTGTTGATGAAGCTCAATGCCACCTATATTAAACTTTAAAAAGTAAAGAATACTTCAAAACTTATGACTTTATAGGGAAATGAAAGCAAAAGGTTGACATTTTTGTAGGGTTGTATGTTTTACAGTTCAAAGACAAAGGTTAAAAGTTCTGTTCCAATCAAAAGCTGCCTTTTCTGATAATTATGACCTAAATCTCAGACCTATTTCTGTCTCAAAAGGTTTTAAATTATTTCCAATTACCAAGCTTTAGCTTACCTGGGTTAACTTGTACATGAGTGGTATAGAACAATTTATCTGTTTATGAGGATTATTTTTGCTCATTTCACCTTAGTAAAATAGTAATCAATATTTACTAAGGCGAGGCTTTTTGCAGGAGTTACGAGTTGATGGAAAAAATGCTTAAGGTCTATGTATATGAGGAAGGAGAAAAACCCGTTTTCCATCAGCCTATATTGACAGGAATTTATGCCTCAGAAGGATGGTTTATGAAATTGTTGGAAGAAAGCAATAAGTTTATTGTGAAGGACCCTGAGAAAGCTCATTTATTCTATCTGCCCTTCAGTTCACAGTTTCTAAGGTCCGCATTTGGAAATAAATTCCGCAACAAGAGGGACCTACAAAAACTTCTCAAGAAGTTCATTGACTTAATTGGGAAGAAGTATCGTTTTTGGAACAGAAATGGAGGATCAGATCATTTTCTAGTTGCCTGTCATGACTGGGTAGACATTCTATGCAATAGCTAGATCTAGTTTGAAGTTGTAATATTTCTACAATGTTCTTTCTGCCCTCTTCAGTTTTCATAAATCGTATAAATTTAGTTTCAAATCATTATGTGACAGAAATTCTCATATGAATCAAATACTAGTCTAGATGAGAATGACTTATTGCTAATTGTTTTGTAGTTAAAACCTGAAACTTATTGGTCATGCTGTTTCATGTCATCATTCTGCAATACCAGTGCCATGTAGTGCTTTCTCATGTAGTTTTATTGACCGACTTGGATCAATTTCAGGCCCCCAAACTCACAAAGCGTGTGGTGAAGAATTGCATCAGAGCGCTCTGCAATGCGAATGCTGCTGCAGACTTCGAAATTGGAAAAGACACCAGTTTACCAGTAACTTTTGTACATTCAATGGAGGACTCCATAAAGGATATCGGAGGGAAACCTCCTTCCGGAAGGACCGCATTGGCCTTCTTTGCTGGGAGCATGCACGGCTATCTCCGACCTATTCTTCTACACTACTGGGAAAACAAAGAGCTTGACATGATGATTGTTGGCCCAATGCCAAATGGTATTGAAGGGAAAAGAGCCTACATGGCGCAAATGAAGAGCAGCAAGTACTGCATATGCGCTCGGGGTTACCAAGTTCATACTCCTCGGGTGATTGAAGCGATTCTTAACGAATGCATCCCGGTCATCTTATCAGATAATTACGTACCTCCCTTCTTCGAGGTATTGAATTGGGAATCATTTTCGGTGTTCGTAAAAGAGAGAGAGATACCGAAATTGAGAGACATTCTCCTCTCAATCCCAGAGGAGAACTACCTTGCAATGCATTCAAGAGTGAAAATGGTGCAACAACATTTCCTTTGGCACGAAAAGCCTGCGAAGTATGACGCATTTCACATGATCCTTCATTCAATATGGTACACAAGAGTGTTTCAGATCAAAACCAACTGACATAGGCAGACTTTTTTTTCTCTGGATTTAACAAGGAAGTCAATTATGCAATTATCAAGGAGACAGCAGATGAAGTGATGCAAAGACACTGTATCGCCATGCTCTGTCAAACGTAACTTAGTTCTTTATGCCAGCAAAGAGGAGCTCCTACAGTGGGTCTCGTAGAATTCACAATAAGTATAGTTTCCTCAAATCTTACAATGTCAAGAACATATTTTTTTCTTTTTTCACACTCAAAAAATTGATTTCATCCTATTTTTGATAGGCCATGAAATAGATAGTTAAGAGGACACAGGTTTGTTACTTGGGACCATATTTATTCAGAATGTAGTGAAGAAGGAGGAGACTGTGAAAAATGCTCTTAGATACGTATCAAAAGTTTACTTTTGGATGAATTGATACGAGATTCTACCTTATTTTACTTTGTTAAAGTTGCTTAATATATTATTATTATTTTATGCAATAATTGTTGATTTATCTTGTTGACAGTTGATCGGTATATAAATGATTAATTAATTTAGATATTAATTTACCTATCCCGGTTGGTGGTTCAATTATCTACCTCTTTTGTTGTAATCTAAAGAGAAATTTAAAAATTAACGTATAATTATAGTAGTTGGTGATTAAGAATGTTTTATTACTTCATACATGTAGAGGTGGAGGATCGAACTCGCGACGTCTTATTGGAGATATATGTCAGTTACCGTTTATGCTCGTTTAACCAAATGAAAAAAGCCTCGTTTAACCAAATGCCCAAACGCATTAGCTAATGATTTCTGAAATTACTAGGCATCAGAGCAGATATTTAAACGAAAGGTTTAATTAAAATTAATTAAAGATTTGGAAAATGCTCTCCTACAGGCTACATATATATATGTATTGAAGATTTGGATAATGAAAAAATATAAACTAATTTGACCTGACGACGCCGACACCAGTTCTTTAACATCACTTCCAAGTTCCAAATAAGCGAAAGAAGGTGAGCTCTGTTCTAGTGATAGTAATGTCGAAACTTGAAATGCTGCTGCCATCGCTCATAAAATTCAATTGAAGGGCTACACATTCACCGGTAAATCGTAATTATATCTCAAACTTAGCTGAATATGCAACTTTTTCTTGATTTTTTTTAACAGTTCTCTTCTGTTTTGGTCAGACAACACACTGAATTTCGATTTCTCTGTTCGGAAGCGCTAGCTCCTCCTTAATGTTTTTGCTGCAATTTTGAATGTTTGTCATCTTCGTCTTATTCGTCCTGCAAAGAAAATTTCTTCTCATAATGGTGTGGATCGCTGGAATTGTACCAATCGGAGAAAGATTACCTTCTCTCCTACGAATCAGAATTTATTGTCCATATATTGGTGAAAGTTTCCGCGTGCTTGTAATTTAGTTGTAATTTCTTTAACTTCGTATCATCAAACCGTAGTTCGTTAGGTAATTGAGGAGTTTGTGTGATAATTGTGGTTTTGTTCTTTGCACTTGCATTCAGTATGGCAAGCTCCTTAATGGTGATCATATGTGACTGCTCGGGGCGGATGTGATTTTTGATAATGGACAGTCCATTGTGTTCCTGGACTTCTTCAAGTTATTGGAATATTTTATAGAGATTGGCTGCTTGACACAATTTCTTCTATGGCTATTCATATTTCTACAAACTTGTTTCATTCTATCAAAATTCGGAGGCTGCTTATTATGATAAGCATCATTATTCCAATTCTTATTGTTTCCCAGTGCTACGTTTATCCATATGCAAAAACATCTTTCCTACCACTTGACTTTAAGAGTTCAAACATTACGACTCTTCAAAATGTCACTAGTTTAAACCATTCAGAAATCACTGGATTCCATCAAGTTCATTTCATGGATACCATCACTCATGTCAAAAATACGAAGGAAATAACTGATAAAATTACTGAAAAGAGGGGAGAAAGGGGACTTGGTTTGACGTCATATGCTGCTAAAAGCATGTCATATGAGAAGGGTGGAACATTTGAAGGGAGTTTGGTAATGCCAGATGGAAAGTTGACAGTTGACAATGGTGTTAGGAAAATGAATGTAGAGTTTCGTTATAGTCCCCCAATGAAGGAAGAAACTCTCAAGAACAGTTACAGAAGAGTCGTTGAAGCTGAAGACAGCAACTATCTAAATGCAAGTGAAAGCAGAAACCATGTTTCTATTGTCTCAAATCGATCCCAAGAATTATCCCGAAAGAGTGTAGTAATTGTAGATCCAAGAAAGTTTGACTTGTCTTCTGCTCAAAACGTATCTACCATTCCAGAAGATCATTTCAATAAAACCGAGGAAATAATAACAAAGCGTACAAAGACTGAGCAAAGGAAGAATGTTTCCATTACCTTGGATGGACTTGCACAGTATGACATATCAAATTTCAAGAGTCTTGAGATGCCATCAATATCAATATCTCAAATGAATACATTGTTATCTCTAAGTCATAATTCTTCTTGTTTGAAGGTATGGATTCCAACTCGAAGTTCCAAATTAGGGCCACTGACACCAACTTGGTTCTAATACTTGATTTTACGTGGTAGTAGAAGCCACAGTGTCATTGGTCTTCCCAACGTGATCGTGAGCTTCTATATGCAAGACTGGAGATTGAGAAAGCCACTGCTGTAGTGAACAGCAAGAACCCAGGAATTGCTACTTCTGTTTTCCGAAATGTTTCTATGTTCAAGAGGTAATCTTTTCTAAACATGTTAGCTTTTGATTCTTGCTGCCTGGACACGTACATATGATTATAGCCTTATGTTAGTCTCCCGCAAGTTTCTTATTAAAAATGTAAGTCCATAATATCGTAATTCTGGATGTGACTGATTTTCCCAGTGGGATATAACAGAGATATTTATTTTACTTGGTTGTTTAATTACACTTATTTATCTCATACACATATGCTGGTTTTCAACGCTTACTTGTTTCTTAGTTTTACTTATTTATTTATCATTGTTTATTTATTGAGCTAGACTTCTTGTTGTGCTTGTTCTTAATTTTATGTTCCTTTTAATGAGACCATCTTTCATACCAGCCAATCAAAGCGAATAGTTTTATTAGGAAGCTACAAAAAGGCCAATAATGTATTGAAGCTCTTGTATCATATCTCTGGACATAAAGTTGAATAATTTCCTTCCGATTCAATTGAAAATTGTTAATCATGCTATAATATGTGGCTGGTAAGCCTTGTTGTGGTCATTCTAGTTGTATGGCCCTGCGGCCCCTGCCATATGATCAATCCCATCAAGTATCACCTTTGTTAATTCTGTGTCTTCAATGTTGGTTAGTGCAGCATGAAACTTCTTCCCTATTCATATCCTCCCTTTTTTCTGGTGTGATACTGTAAGCTGCACATTGACCAAGTTGAAACACATATTGTATGTCCCCTTTGCAGGAGTTATGACTTGATGGAGAAAATGCTTAAAGTTTACATCTACAAGGAAGGAGAAAATCCTATTTTTCATCAACCTCGGACGAAAGGGATATATGCCTCGGAAGGATGGTTTATGAAATTGATAAAGGAGAATAAAAAATTTGTTGTGAAGGATCCCAAGAAGGCTCACTTATTCTATTTACCTTTCAGTTCGCAGTTACTAAGGAAGGAACTTTCTGAACAAAATTTCTACAAGCCAAAGGACCTAGAGGAACATCTAGGGAACTATGTCGACTTAATTAGGAGAAAACACCAATTCTGGAACAGAACTGGAGGGGTTGATCATTTTCTTGTTGCCTGTCACGACTGGGTATATATCATATGCAAAATTTAGATCTAATTCCAATGTCTTGTTCAAGTATTTAATTGCTTGTTTTGAACACTCCTCTCAAGTTATCATTTGTAGTAGCTGAAGCTTGTTTGCTTAGTATTCTGTGGACATTGTTTTATCGACCAAAAACCTGACTTGAGCATAATATAGTTTAGTTACAATCTAACAATTATGATATAAGACTTATCTCAGTATTTGCTTAAATTGAACATTGTAGTGTGCTGTCATCTTTAGTTAGTCTGTTGGACTCCAACATACTATAGTCATGTTATTTTATATATACATGCAATTTCTTGCTTACAGACTCACAAGGCTCTGCATGTGAACAAGCATCAGAGCGCTCCAATGCAAATTATACTTGAGATTGTCTTTGATAACACTGTAATTTTTTTTTTATATTAAGTTAATTTGTTATAGTCTTTTATATAATAGTCAAGTTCTCATTTTGTCTATACATTCAATTTCAGGCCTCCAAACTCACAAGACAGCATATGAAAAATTGCATCAGAGCTCTATGCAATTCAAATGCTGCTAGAGGCTTTCAAATAGGCAAGGACACTAGCTTACCAGTTACATATATACATTTGAAAAAGGACCCTGATATAACTTCTGGAGCGAAACCTCCTTCAGAAAGAACTACATTAGCCTTCTTTGCTGGGCGTATCCACGGTTATCTTAGACCAGTACTGCTTCATTTCTGGGAAAATAAGGAACCTGACATGAAGATTTTTGGCCCAATACCGGGCGATATTGAAGGGAAAAGAGTCTACAGGGAGCACATGAAAAATAGTAAGTATTGCATATGTGCAAGGGGATATGAAGTTCATACTCCTCGAGTGGTTGAGGCAATTCTTAGTGAGTGTGTCCCAGTCATCATATCAGATAATTACGTACCTCCTTTCTTTGAGGTATTGAACTGGGAATCATTCTCAGTATTTGTTCAAGAGAAAGAGATCTCTAATTTGAGAAACATTCTGCTCTCAATTCCAGATAAGAGCTACCTTGCCATGCATGCAAAACTGAAAATGGTGCAAAAGCATTTCATTTGGCATGAAAATCCGGTGAAGTATGACTTATTTCATATGATCCTTCATTCAGTATGGTATAACCGAGTTTTTCAGATGAAAGCCAATTGATTTACAAAGCATCAGATTCCGAAGTTGGAAAGCCACATGGATGTACAATGATTAAACAAAAGATGTGCTGTAAATATGCTGAGCTTCCATAACATCACCCTCCTGATAAAGATGAAGCTTAGCTTGTACCTTTCCAACAGCCAGATGGCGTGAATTCTCGAGGGACATCTCTCTCTCTGTGGTTGTATGGGGATCTGTGCCATCTCGTAAATGAGTTTTATGGCTTCTGGCTACAAAAACCCATGAAAGTCAGAGCACAAGATAGGCATTCCATCTGTAGTTATATGCCTTTTCCCATACCTTGCTGCATAGAAGGTACCATCATCTTGGATTCCTCCCGAGGTGACCAGCCTGTGTCAAAAATCCCATCAGTTTGAATATTCAGAATGCTAAAATGGATCCATATTAGTGTGATTAGTGTCTCATTCGTTACCACTTTCTTTTGCTTCAACCATCGTCAGTGGCATGTCAATAAAGTTTTTCAGCTCAATTAGTTTTTTCCTCGTTGAAAGTTTGCACGGAAATAGAGTCCATGTTCCTTTATCCTGTAGAGAATTTGTTTGTCTGCCTGCACTTATCTATTCCCTTACCTCATCTCCAGCCTTGAATTACATTGCTGAATTCGCAGATGTACGAGTATTTCAAGAGGAGTTCCTAGTCTCATCACGGCATTTATCGGGTCATTTTAAGCGACCTAAGTTGCAGTGCCCATATACTTCCAATTGAGTATAGCTTGTTGAATATGTACCACCTACCTATTCATATTGGGTTTCATTAAATAAATGTACTAAACAAACATCATCAGTTTACTATTCCATATCAGATAGAGAGAGCTATTTATTCAAGGCTAGGGGAATGTTTGATTGAGGGAGACCAAAGCCCTCCTATTCTTCTGTTGCTGCAGGTTTCCACTGTCCACCACAACAAGAAACAGTCGACAGGTTCAGGTTAGTTCTTATTCCCTTTTGAATTTGGATTCTAGTTTTGATGTTTATCTTTGATGATTATTTGCATCTAGGTTTGGTTTATATGAATGAGGATTAAAAATCATCGATGCTTTCAAGTGAAAAATATGCCTCTTCTTGTGCCCTGTGTAACACATACAAAAGTTGATAAACTGTTTGAATTCAAATATGTAGATACAAAATTATTTAAACTCCTAGTGATGATACTAGGAGGAGAAACGCTACTGGAAATGTGGATACAGTTGTGATCTCTTTTACCCACTTGTGATGGGCACTGGAAGTGGACTCATTTTGTAGTTGATAGACAAGTGATTTAGTTTAAGAGTATAGTTCAGGGGCATTGCGGATGTGAGCTTGAATTGGTTAACGTATATATCATCGATTCTAACGTCACAAGTTTGAATCTTTGCTATCACATATTGAATTAGAAAAAAGTTTCTTGGGCATTATTATGTGCAGTCCAACTGGTACAACTTGGTCAACAACCGGTGGAACTTTTTCCATTTTATCATTATAATTCAACTTTTTTATATATATTTCTTTCACAATTTACCTTATATTTTGAGAACGATTCTAAACATAGATAACAAAATTACTAAATACATTGGATTTACCAACTTAATTTTTACAAATAGAAAATTAAAAAAATAAAATAGTTATCAGATCAGCCCTGAATGGTTTATTGATTTTATCCATTTAAGCTGTATTTATCCATTCAATAGTGCACTTCAATTGTACTTAAAAAAAAAAAAGTGCACTTCAATTTCGAGTGGACATAATTATTTTCCATTATTCAATTTGAGGCTGTGGACCCAATTTGGACAATTTATTAAACTCTATTACGCTTGAAATTATTGCTCTATGGTAAAGCTAAACTTTATTCCATCGTAGCTCCAATTATTATTTTAGTAAAGTAATGTGGGCTCCATTTTAATATAATACCAAAATTTTATCACTATTTATTAGTAACTTCAGCAAGGGATTTTTTTTTAATATTGTTTTTAAAACTTATTTTTAAAATAATTTAGATTTATTAGAAAAGATGGAAAAAATGCAACTTTGGAAACTTATTCCAAAAATAATGTTGGTGTAAAAAACGTGGGGCTTGGTCTCTTCTGAAGAGACGACCATATCTGGCGCCACGTCAATTTTTTTTAAAACGAAAATGTGGTCTCTTCTTGAAGAGACTACCAAGCCCCACGTTTTTTACACCAGCATTATTTTTGTAATAAGTTTCCAAAGTTGCATTTTTTCCATCTTTTCTAATAAATCTGCATTATTTTAAAAATAAGTTTAATTAAAAACAATATTAAAAAAAATCCCTGGCTGAAGTTACTAATAAATAGTGATAAAATTTTGGTATTATATTAAAATGGAGCCCATATGTGATGGTCGTCTCTTCAAGAAACGACTATCTAAGCGGTTTGGAAAAAAAAATATTGTTTATATTATATAATATTAAATAGTAGTTCTTATGTTAAAAAGCTCCTAGTGGTGTAGTGGGTGTGTAGCTAATTTGTAACCCTTTTATCCCAGGTTTAAGTTTTGGATATATCCCCATTTTTCTTTTTCATAACAATTAATCATTATTTTTCTCTTTTTTACTTAATATTATCATTACCCCATTTTTCCTTTTCATAACAATTAATTATATCTTTTCTCTTTTTTACTTAATATTATCATTTCCATCCC